AAGCTCTTCATGGTGTAGATACAGCCTTGTCCACTTCTGTCTCTTCCTCACGCATCTCTGGCTCTGTGGTTTTCTGCTTCAATAGTACGTCTGCGTTTCATAAACAGGTTTCTTTCAGGGGATTTTTTTTTTTATGCTGCTCTTTTTGCCGGAATGCCTTTTCTAACCTGGTTTCTCAGTTAAGTATTATACATCCTTCAGGAAATCTTCATACACACTGATTCAAGGACAGTTTTTAACCTTTTTAAAGCCCTGAGGCTGGGTTGGATGCCCCCTTTTTTCCATCCATAATCTTTTGAGTAATTTTGTCATGTATTTAGTGCGTTTTAAGATACTTTCCAATGTATTTGTCTGTCTAGAATACTGAGGTTCTTGACTAGTATTATTTACCTTTGTATTAATAGTATTTAGTGAAATATCAGGAACATAGCAAAAGTGAAATAACTGTTTATTAAAGAGAGCGTGGTTTCATAGATTAGGAAATTGAATTCCAAGAAATAAATGATCTCACCTAAGGACACATAGCTAAATTTTGATAATCAAGGCATAGAGTTGAAATGAGATACAATTTAATTTTTTGAAAATTTGGTTTTTACATCTTAAACAGAGGAAACCTATTATAACACCTATCCAGAAAGGCATGTGCTTACCTAGAAAGTAGGGTGTCAGCCAAATGTTTATGTATTAAGATGTTCATAGACACTGTAGTTTCAGAGAGATAGGAGAGGGTAAGTGGAGTGAGTCAGGAAATGAAGCCACAATGAGGGGATGCATTACTGAGTTACCCACTGACATCAAGGACATGTTTGATTTGGCAGGACCCTTGTTGGATAGGCAGCATGCTCTACTGGGTATCATGTCAGTCCTTCTGCAGGAAGGAGGTCATGTGTTTGCTAGGTTTGTTTCTTACTGGTCTAAGACGGGTTTCATGGAGATTAATTCTCCATGCTTCTACACTGAACATATATGACTGCCATGTTCCCGAGATGTCTTAAATGTCAGGCAGGACTTGTTTGAATGTGCTTCAGTTGCACAGCTATACATGCAAAATAACTTGTAAGAGTCTTGTGTCCCTTTTATTTATCTTACTAGATTTTGACCTATGGAGTTAACTCCTTGCTAAAAGTGAGACTGGTATTCTGACTGTTCCCCTTAAAACATTTTGGCACTAGAGTGGAGGAAAGGAAGTAATGTTCATCAGCAAAATAGAAAAATGGCTATTGTGAGATATAGTGAATCAAAGTGATTTCTTTTAATTTCCTGAACTAATAGATACCAAGTTGTAAAGCATTTCTGTGCAACTGTTGTCTGCAGAGTGCCCTGAGGGATTTGGGCGATTATTCTCTTTTGCTCTTTTCAGAAATCCTAGACTGTCCTATGTTCTTCAGTTTGATAACCTTCATTCACCAATTTCTATTACTCAGGAAGATAGTATTTAAACATGTTTTATAGTTGAATATTTCACTTCCAGGAAAAAAAACACATAAAAGCATTTACTTGAGTCTTTTTGATTCCATTATCAAATCTCCAGATACAAGCATGGTTAAAATTTTGGTACATATTTTTCCAGATTTTTGTGCAACATATATGCACACATATATCTGGGGAATTTTTTCTATGTATGATGTTTTGCAGCTTTCTTCTCAAGCTTTCTTGTTGTCTTTTCCTTTGTTCTTTTTCTTTTCTGACCCTCCTTCCTTATAATTACAAGCACTTCTGTGATGATTATTCTATTTCCATAGTTTTGAGTATATTTGTATGTAATCAGTAAACATGGAATTATTAGTTCAAAGGAAGGCATGATAATGTCCTATGGAAAATGTGTTGTGCCAATTGACCTTCTTTAAATAATTGAGAGTGCCGCTTCTGCCTCTACTTAACTGGGTATTAAATACTTCAACATTTGTCAGTCTGATGCATGAAAAATATCTCCTTGTTCTTATCTGCATTTATTTGTTTTTTAAACTTCAGCATATTATTATTTGCTTATTGGCTAATTCTGTGAACAGATTTTTGCATGCCATTTCATGTTTATTAGAAAGCCTATGAATTTGATCCTGTTCTTTTACATTTTTAGATTAGGACTGTTAGTATATTTTTGTGTTAATTTGTAGGCATTTTTGATATTTGTATAGTAGCTTCTTGTTTGTAAAATGCATTGTAAAAATGTCTTTCATTGTTTTCCAATTTTATTTATGGTGTTTTCCATTTTGGTTTATTGGGCTTTTTTCTGTTAGAGTATTTAAATTATTAGGTTCTCAAATGTTTCAATATTTTCTCCTAATCATTTCTGGGTTTCATGTCATTATGAGAAAGGTGTTTTTCATTCTAAAGTTATAAAAATATCCTTTTTTTTTCACATTTAAGTCTTCAATTTACCTGTATTTGATTTTCAAGCATAGCAAGAGATTATGTAATACTTAAAAAAAATAGTTACTCTAGTTTCTGTATACAATATATTAAGTAGTCTACTTTCTTACCCACAGATTTAAAGTAACATCTCCATTATGCTCTGGAGTTTAATGTCTGTGCTCCTGGCTCTGGGCTCTTATTTTGTCTGTTGATCTCTCTGTTTTTATTTGCCATTACCATGTTTTTTTTTTTATTGTGAATTCATAGTATACTAATTTATTTACTAATTTTTTCATATTTCTTAAGCACTGTGTGAGGACCTGGGAACAAGAAAGGACAGGCCCTCACTTGTGTGGAACTTAGTGAGGAAGACAGATTATAACAAGCAAACAGAGAAAATGTAATTCCAGACTAAATTCTTTAATAGAAGTAAGGTGGAGTGTCCCCAGGCTGATTTAAATAGGATGCCTTTGGGAGAAGTCAATTGATTAGCAACCGTAATTCCATCTGCAGCTTTCATTCCCTTTTGTCAAGTAATTAAAGATATTCACAGGTTCCAGGCATGAGGGCATGGACATTTTGAGGGCCTGTCATTCTGCCTCCCACGGGAAGGGTGGAGGGATTGCAGTGCTGTGTATATGTGTAAGTGGCTAGTGTGGGGATGAAAATAAAGGGGATGGGAAAATATGGTCTTCTTTAATATGGTAAGGAATTTGAATTTAAACAAGAATCAGCTGTGAGAGTATTTCAAGAGGGATTTGATGTGAGTTTTTCAATGAATTTTTTGTTTATAATCAATGTTTCATTGATTATGCCAATGATTAACTATTGGAAGTGAACTTTAGGACAAAAAAGAAAAAATATTTCCAGAAAATATAGCAGCAATTTTGATTGGCCCCACACTGAATATAAACAAATATTTGGCAAATGGAGTCTTTGCAATATTGAATCTTTCTACTGTATAAAATCTATCCTTATTGAACCTTCTTTTGTGTTTTAATTTTTTTTAACCTTTTACCTTGAAACTCTGTATTTCATGTTAAAAAAGTCTAACCTTAGATATTATATAGAATTTTAAAGATATTTTAAATATTATATAATTGATCATTGTTACTTAAGTGCTATTGATTTTTGTGTGTTTTTAAAAAATCTGGCAACCTAGTAAGATTTTCCTATTCTAATATTTTCCATTTAATATATATTTTTTTGTTTTCCATAAAGATAGTTTTCTTATAATATTTATTCTTTCATTTCAGTATTTGTACTCTAACTTATTTTGCACAATGAATTGTACTGACAAGGGTTTGTAGAACATTAATTAATAATAGCAATGATAAATATAGGTATTGATTAGTAATGAATGCTTAATTTTATTAAATTTCTTATTTTAATATTCTCCATTAATATGTAATGTAATGAATTACATCTCTGTATTTCTCAATATTGAACTATTCTTACATTCCTGGAACAAATGAACACTACCTTTTTCTTCATACAGTATCCTTTTACCTCTGTTGGAATTTGTGAACTAGTATCTTTAGGATACTAATAATACTAAAACTGTTTTCATTTTGTGTTGTTTTTATTTTTGATTTTCTTCACTGTGGGAAAACTAGACACTAATGCTTTGAGAAGCCATTCTTTTTCTGGATGTGGGAGAGTTTTCTTGACTTTCTCCTGATGTCTACTTTCTAAACCCACCAAAGTTTCATCTTCTGATGGTGGAAGATGATGGTGATGTTGATCTATAGTTTTTATACTATCCTTGCTCATTGGATATTGGGGCCTTTATATTATATTAGAACTTTATAGCAGGTTCATAAAAAATATTTGAAGGGTTGTGTGTTTTTCCATGCAAAAAGACAGCTATGTTTTTTGGGAGCAAAATTTTTAAAATGTGACCTTTGCTAAAACCTACTTGTAAAGTAGGTAGGATCTGGCACCTTTGTTGTTGATCTGTTCATGTTTTCTTAATCTTTTGTTAGGTGCAGTTGGTCATTTATAATATCTAATAAAAGATTTGCACTTAAAAATTCAGTGGCATAATGTTATAGTTAATTCCTATATAACATTTTAACTTCTTTATCTCTATGGTTACTTTTTGTCCCTCATGTGTTTATTGGGAATATTCACCAGAAGGTTTCAATTTTATTAGTATTTTTAAAAATCAGCTTGCTTTCATCTATTATGCTTGTTTAAAATATTAATTTGTATTTACTTTTATTGTTGCTGTCTTCCGACTTTCTCTGAGAGAAGACTGGCTGCAGGACACATGTAGTTAGATAGATTTTTTGATAGAATGAGGGACTCACACTATTGGAGAAGGAAGAAACGTCTGAATCTGTTATGCATTTTGTTGCTTAGATCGAATGTTTTAAAATTTCAGCACTTACATTTTTAAATTTCTTTGATTTGTTTTGATTCATTTGTCATATTATCTTGGTCTTGATTTATGGATGCAATATGGTCTCAATTTCCACTGAGAACACTAACATTCTGTCTACTTTTTTGTATTAACCCTGTTTCATTAGAGAAAGGCAATTATTGCCCTTGAACTTTTTCTCAGGATATTGAGTGTCCTCCAGTGTCACATTATCTGACAACAGTGCCAATTTCTAAAATTGATAGTGTGTATCCATCTATTGCAGCTGATATGGACTTACTCCATAGAGCAGAACTGAATCTGCTTAGCTGTGCCAACAGGTAAATGTGTTCACTTTCTCTCCACTACAAAATCAATTTGCATTGCTATAGATATATATTTTAGCCATAGCAACACTGTTTTGTTTTGTGATGTTTCTGTGTTTGATTTTCTTCACTATGGGAAAACCAGAAACTAATGCATTGAGAAGCCATTCTGTTCCTGGCTGTGGTAGACATATTAAAACTTCTTGACTTTCCCCTGGTGTGTACTTTCTGAAACAACCAAACTTTCATCTTCTGATGGTGGGAATATTAGGAGCATCTGATTGTGGCCTAAATTTTAGTTGCCAGTGGTAAGAGTCTAAAGAGGGATTTAATGTAGGAATTCAAGTTTCTGGGGATTTTATTGTTGTGCTGAGTCATTTTATCCTGCATGTGTGTTGTGGCTGGAAGCTAGCTGGAGAGCTATTCATTATTTCTCTCTCTCCTAACACCAGTAATCTAAGTCTGCATTGGCTAATTCCCACTTTTCTTGGTGGTTCAGCCCAAGCCAAATCCAAGCATGGTGTAAATGCTATAGTCAGGTGTGTCTAAGGATGAGACAATTCTTGGAGTTACTGTCTAATCTTCCACATGACCTCCCTGTCACCTCCTCTTTAAACTCTGAGGTTTGGGTTATTTTGTTGAAACTATATTATATCTTCAGATTAACTTTGTTCCGCTTGAATTCAGTAATGAGTGGTATGCACCAGATATCATCAATAAATTCCTTAATTTCATGTCCATTGATAGTATATCACTGTATACACTGTATAATGTCTTCCTTTCTTTCCCTTTATTTTTACATGTAATCTTTTGTTGGTGATTAAAATACTATTAGGAAAGAAGAAGTGTAACCAGATCAACATATCATGAAAGCAGAATATGAAATTGGGTTCCTTTAACAATTAATTTGCTTTTTCTGTATGTGCTCCTCCCTCCAAATGCTTTCTAGGGCATATCCCCAGTTTTAATGTAAGTTATAGAGTCAAGGTAAAGTAGGTCCAAGATCTGAGGGTCTACAGTGATGGAGAGAAATTTGTTAAGTATGTCATTGATACAGGTTGGATTAATGTTCTTGTTTGTTCTGAAGGCTTGTTTATTTTTCAGTCTCTGGAAATGGAATTATATATAAATGTGTGCTATTTTTCTATGGTTACACAGCTCCATACTGAAAAATTCAGGACCTATAATCCAATCCTTCAAAAACTAATGTATTTCTCTTTTGTTTCAAAACATTTGTTCCATTTTTGCAGTTATCAGTTAATGTCTTGTTTAATTTTCTATGTTCCAGTGGGTAAAGTATTTTTTAGATGTGGCAACTGAGGCCCATAAAATTTAACTAATTCCCAAGGTACTTAGTGAGCAAATGCTAGAATACAAACTGTCTCTTTCTATAGTTGTGCTTCTTCCAGATAGAATTACCTCTTTAAACATGAGTGACAAAAATTAAGTCAACAAATACTTTGTCAACTACCTAATCTTGCAATATGCCAGTAAGACCAGGAGAGACATGCAAAAGTACATATTACATGAATCAGAAGAGTTTGCAACTATCTGGTTGAAGAAGGAAGCAGCAGTGAAGATACAAAGTTATCTCTACCATTGTGCTCTTGACAGAGATAATCATCATCATCAAAAACATCCAAAATACCAATAGAAAAACAAACTGTAAGCCCAGGGCTTTTTGGTCAAAATGGGATCTTTATGATGTTCTAGAATAGGACTTGACTGAAGCATGTTGACCCATAGAGGTTTCCAGAGGCATCCTACAGAATTCCATTTCTTTGGAAACTGTTGCCTGTCCTGTGTTACTGTAGATGCTTCCTGCAGTCCTGATGGTTCCTTGGCTCAACTTCTTGACCATAACATTTGGCATCTGGCCCACTTGGCTCTAGTTTACCTTGACCCCTGGCTGCCCCTGTCCTCCCCTGTGACCTGGGTCTTTACCAGGAATTGAACCTGCTGTTCACTTGCTGCTTTTTAGTACTGGCTCTGCAAATTCCTGATCTAAATTGTGCTTAGTCTGCCAGTTAAGTGTTAGCAGGGACATATGTAGGCAAAGCGAATGGAGGGTTATGTAACTGTCCAAACAACTCTTGCCAAGTTCAGTTCAGGCAGAAGCATCCATTTCAATGTGCATTAGATATATAGAAAACAAATTTTTTGAACAGAGCTCTAAGTTTGGTACTTCGAGGGTCTGATATATCATACAATAGTTTTGTCTTTTTGAGCATGCAATTATTGGCCACTGCAATTAAAATATAATATGTAACCTAAAGATCTGTTGTAAAAAAAATAACTGAAAAAAAAGATAATCTCAAATGATATCATTCTGGATGTAAGACAACCCATTCAATGTAGCAGTTTTAAAATAAAAATATTTTCCCTGTTGCCTTTGGATGGTTCAGGACCACAGATGCAGAATCCCGAAGGACAAATTTAGCTTCTTGCTAATCAAGCTCATGGGTTAGAATGAGATCTATTTTCTCTCTCCTTCCTTCTCAACCTTACTCCCTTCCTACTTTTTCCTCCTCTTTCTGCCTTTCTGTCTTTGTCTCTTTTTCTCAGGCTGCAGTTGTCTATTATAGACAATAGAGAGGAGAATGTTTATTTCCACCACAGACAAACTATAACCAATGTCTTCAAACAAGCATCTTATTCAAAACAATATTGTTAAAAATGGGAGAATTTTGTCTGCTTGTTTCTAATGCAACTTGAGCAATATCATAGAAGAAAAAGTCTTATGTCTCAAATGAATGGTATTCTTCTCCCACAAGTATCAATCTTCTATCAGAAACAAAATAGAAAGAGCTCAAGAAGCTTTCCGAATGTTCCAGTTGCTCTTCATTTTCACCTGAACTTCTTTGTAAGTTTTAGACATTCTAAAAGGTATATAGTAGTATTTAATTATGATTTTAATTCATAATTCACTAAAGATTAATGATGTTGAACATCTTTTCATGCCCTTATTTGTCATTTGTATCTTTTCTGTGGTGAGTGTTCATTCAAATCTTTTGCCCAAATTTTACTGGGCTGTCCTCTTATTATTGAGTTGTAAGAGTTCTTTATATAATTACATATATCTTTTATCAGATATTTGCAAATATTTTCTCCCAGTCAGTGGCTTGTCTTTTCATTTTCTTAACAATGTCTTTCAAAGAGTGAAAGTTTCCAATTTATAAGTTTATAAATACTTGGTACTTTTCCCCACTTATCTAAGAAATTTTTGTCTAACCTAAATTATACAGATTCTCCCCCATGTTCACTTTTAGAAGATTTATAGTTTTTTAATTAGCTTTATGAAATACTTCAGTCACTTTAGATAACAATCTTGTAGTTTCTGATAAGTGAAATATGTCTTTACTGTATGATCCACTAATCTCACTCCTAGGTAGTTACTCAAAAGAAATAAAAATGTATCTGTAAAAAGCTCTATACATGAAGGTTTACAGCTTTTTTCATAATTGCCCCAAACTGGAAATAATCCAACTACCCATCAACTGGTGAATAGATAAGTTACAATGAACTTAGATAGTCCACCGAAAGCAAAAAAACCCCCTAATATATGCAAAAAACAGGATGCAGGTCAAAACACTATGCTGAGAGGAAAGGCATAACAACTACATGGTGTATTATTCCACTTATAGACGTTTTGGAAAAGGTAAAATTATAGGGGCAGAAATCATACTGCTAGTTATCAGGGTCTAAGGATGGGGAGAGAGGTGATTACAAAGCGATGTAACTTTTTAGAGAAATAATAAGTATCTCAATTTTGTCAGAGGTTGTGTGGACATGTATGCTACACAAAACTCTGAACTTTACATCTGAAGAAAAAAGTGAACTTTCCTACATGTAAATTATACTTGGAAAAACCCAAGTAAGATTTCTTGCAGAGTTCAAACTTTGACACATTATTTTCAAAGAAAAAAGTTTGAGTGTGTTTATAAATCCCTTCCTCACTTTCTCACTATGAATGAACCAATTTTTCCTAGGAGGTGACAGAATGCAACAAGCAATTCCTGTCTCTAGTAGAGGCACTAATAGGTTATTACAGAAGTGTTCCCTATGCTTATTAAAAGCAGCATCTGTTTCAATGGCTCACACTAGAAAAATCAGGCTTAGGTTAGCCTTTGCTCTTTATGGATTCCTAGCAAGCTGTCTGTCTAATTACTGCTGCCTTTGTTGTTTTTGTTAAATATAGTTTTCTTTTTCCTTTCCTCTACCTAACTTCAGTCTTTCCTAGGATTCATCTTGGATCAGTGCATTTGGCTTTCAATTGTTTTTCCTACCCCAAGGCTCTAATTCTTCCAATTAATATTGAATATGGTGACCCAATAAATCTTAAAATGCAGACTTTATCAAGTTGCTTAATACATCATGTTACTTCTTCCCTTTGCCTTTAAATTCTCTTGCTAATATGGCTTGCTTTGTCTCACGGGTCTGAACAAAATGTTCTCAAGAGAATAGGTGCTAAAACATTTTGCTTGGTTGGGTAACTATAATGTATATCTGAATATAAGGTAAGAATTTGTTTTCCTCCAAATGAAAGATACATTTGTACCCTTAAAAAGTCTTTTGTATACTGGATTACTCTCTCAATGACTTTATTTTGAGCAAGAAAATATTTGGGGGGAAAGCCGTTCTTCCTTTAATGATATCAGTAAATCCTGGTTTGAACGTTCATGGAGGTCTTCAGTGGAGTCAACTATGGATGGGATTTAATAGTGGTATGGGATGGGATGTGGTATCACAATCACAACATTATATATTGCAGAGAAGCCTTTATAAGTGTTTAACTGATTGTATGAATTAAATTTCTAAGAGTCTATTTTATCTCATCCTCACATTTAAGTTGGCCAACATTCTTCTTCCATCTTTTTGCAATATTTCTCATTAAGGTCAATCAATCTATCTATCATCATCTTCAGCTAACTATCTGTGTCTATTGTTTTTTACAAAATAAATATTTTATTATATACAGTTTTCCCCAAAGATCGGTATCTTAGTGAGTGTTTATTGTTACTTGTAATAGAAAAGGTAATGCCAAGACTTGGTGATTTTTTTCCTCTCAGATGTAGAAGAACTTGTAAGGGGCTGACACCTATCCACATGGCTAGCAAATGCTAATGCAAACAGGGGTAAGTCCTCTTATTAGCTGCTTCTAGAAATATTAGTAATTGGTTTTATGAGGAGAACAACTAGCAGAGAGCTGGAAAGGGCTTCATGATTCCGTGACCAATACAAAGTAGCCTGGCAGTTATAAGTGGATACTACCATTAACTCTGTAACCAAAAGAGACTTTCCTGTGGACTTGAGGATCCTATATTTACAGTCTAACAATCTAAGCCCTTAATTCCAGAGGGAATTTGAGAGTGGTAGAGAGTGGGTGAATAATTGTTTGGTTCTCCATGTTTCAGTTTGTGAGTATTATTATTTTTCCTTCCATATGCAAATATCCTACATTCTTTCCCTCCCATGACTAAATATCCTCTATTCCAACTTCAATTTGCCTTAAGTTTGAGGGTTACATAACTGCCCGTTGAAAACCTGGTGCTTCCATGGCTGCCATGAATTTTTTTTTTAAGTCTATCTGTTTTTTATACTATAGAGGTCTGGCTTAGTTGTCTTACTGGACAATGATCATAATTCTCATACATGAAACCGTAATTCTTAAAGAGGACCTACAAAGCTAAGACGGAAGTAAGCTACAGGAAACTCAGATCCTCCCTTCAGTCATCTATTGCTTTATTCATTATATCTTTTTCAGATTCATCCAAGATTTATTGAAGACCCACCATGTATCAGGCAATGCCTTAGGATTTCTGAAGATCTAAACACAGTGACCACCTGGCAGAAATTCTAGGTGAAGAAACTTCAGAAGAGAGTATCCCAATTGTGCCCTGAATGGTATTGTTCCTGCAAGATCTCCCTCCCTCTGACACATCGAAGGTTAGAAGAAATCTTGTAGGAAAGGAGCCTTTGTGATTTTAGGCATTTTTCAAGTTTATCTGAGCAAAAAAACTCCCCTCACATATAATCATTAATTTTTAGCTTAAATAGATAGAGAATTATCATTATTAATTTTAGCAAAAACTTGAATGGATATGTGTTGCTTTGCTTAATAAATTGAGAAGAAATTTGAACTTACGCTGACAGTTATTGAAAAAGGGAATGAGTGAGGGGAGCTTCAGGTAAAAAGAGACAGAAGAGATGATATTAGAGGTTCTGAAAGTAAAGGACCCCCCCACCCCACAGTGGGAACAGTGGAGAGGTGTTATAAGAGCTATGTAATACTCAGTTTTGCTTAGGTTCTGCTGGGCTACTGTTTGACACTCTGGTATTGCTTCTTGAATCCTCAATGAAAGCTTATTTCAAAAAATTGCCTTCTGAGAGTGGTGTTTACTAGAAATCAGGATTAAAAGAGATGGTGTCTGATTTTGGGTCATCACAGGGTGGGGGCAAGGTACAGTTATTAGAGGAAAGATCAAGGTGAGCTGGAGAAATCAGGAGATGCAGGGCTCAGAGAGGAACTACAGATAACTGAGAAAAATTCAAGTCTAATGGCTTTACAAGAAGTGTCGAAGGAAAGAGCTCTTGGGGAGGGGGGACATGACATATGACAGGCCACCAGTTATTAGGACCATGGTTCCAAAGGGTTTACAAGCATTAGCCCAGGTAGTAGTTCAGTGTGTGAGGCCTGGTTCCAGATCCTTGGCTTTGAATTGCTTTTCAGCTTGACTTCTCTGTCCTTGGTATTCGAGTCTAGAAAATTGGGTTCAGAATAGTATCTATTTCATGCTAGTTGTTGATTGAATTGATGGAATGAATATGCATGCAAAGTGTGTGGAATATAACCTGGTAGATAACAAGTGCTCAGTAAATATTATTGATTAGTAAATTAACAAAATTATTGAAAATTTCCCCCTAAAAGCTGCAGGTAAGGAGGCAAAAATGACATCAATTGAGAAATGTCATTCTAGTGGCTGGGCAATCATACAGCTTGACGGGTGTAGGAAGAGATGTCAAGAAAATTAGTATAAGACACTTCAGGCATTTATTGGTAATTTTAAGATGACTTAAATGTTATTGTGAAACAAAAAAGTTCTATGCCATTAGGAGACAGACCTGTGGAATTCTGAGGAACTGTGGCTCTCAGGACAGCAAATTGCAGTAAGAGGGACAATTAGATTGAATTCTGTTGGGTGTTAGATTGTTCAAAGAAAGATACCTTATGAAGGGAAAAAAAATTCATAGACAGAAAAATTAACATGATGTCTTTGAAATGTAGACACTTGTGATAGACCCAAAATTAATTAGTTTCAAAATCTGTACTCTAAAGGAATTTACAGAAGAAAATAGAAAAAGTCTTTCAGGAAAGCAGATAAATTGAGAGTGACTTCATACATAGAGTTTTAATTAATTTATGACTGGATCTATCATCCCAGAAGCCCTGGAGAAACGGTATGGAAAACACTGAGTGCAGAGACAAAATCAGATGAAGGTTTTTAGGAAATTATGTGGGTGTGCGTCATCCAGTTGGATAAAGTGGAGGAGCCCAGGTACATTACAAGAGACATAAGAGAAGCTGAGGACCAAGGAAACCCTCTGATTTGCTGGGAATAGAGAGAAAAGCATGGAAGTGGGTTTTCCACTCCTCTCCAGCACTGCTCCTGGGCGGGGCCCCCTTTGGCTCCTGGAACCACATACAGTCATGAGTGAGCAGACTATGGGACCCCTCCGCCCACTCTGATGTTGTTTTCTTCTGCATTCAGTCTACACTCATTCAGTGAAGATTTTAGCACACCCCTTTTACTTTCTCCCATTTGCAAGGATGTCAATGACATGGGTGACCGTTCAGCAGGGTCCTAATGGTATTCTTGTTCCTTATTTTTAAACAACCTATTTTTTTATTGCGATAAAATATGCATAACATTAAAAGTTCCATTGCAACGATTTTTAAGTATATGTTCAGTGGCATTAAAGTGCATGCAAAATTGCTCTGCAGCCATCACCGACATCCATCTCCAGAACTCTTCATCGTGCAAAACTAATTCTGAGCACACTAAACAATAAGGCTCTGCTTGCTTCTTCTCCAAGCTCCTAGCAACCACCATCCTACTTTCTTCATCAATTTGACTAATCTAGGTACCTCTCGTAAGTGGACTCATATAGTACTTTTCCTTTCTTAACTGGCTTAATTCATTTAGCAGAATGTCTTCAAAGTTCATCCATGCTGTAACATGAGAGAACTTCTTTGCTTTTTAAGGTTTAATAATGTTCCACTGTATGTATGTACCATACATTATCATCATTATTCTCCTGATAAATCTAGTACATTTTAATGATTATATTAGACAATTTTACAAAATAACTCAATAAATGTTAATATTTAAACAATAATTTATAATCTTGATGGTTTGATGTACTTGATTCTCATTTAAAGGCATTAATTTTCTCACCTCAAATGAAAATAAAATTCCCATGTACTAAAGTAGTTCTTGGAAATCCAATAAACTTGGGCCTTGGATAATCCTAGTGTTTTTTTTTTTTCCTTTAGAAATCTCACCTTTCTATAAACCTAGTGGAACTTCAAGCTAAAATTATAAATCACTAATTACTAAAACAATTAGTCCCTTAGATACTTTAAATTGAAATTGCAAACCAATCTGCTACTGCAATAGGTAAATTTTTTTTAAGTTACATAATCTTAAAAATAAAATATGTAAAGATTATTCCTTAACACAAAGTTATAGCTATTAAACGTTTGATTAGCCTTGTCATTGAATACTTAAACTTAAAACCTAAAAAGTTAAAAATTTAACCACTAGGGAATCAATTATGCCATTTCAGGAGAATTTTAGAGTCAGTTTAATTTTTTGGCTTGATGGCTCAGTTGGCTGAGGTTGCATAGCAACTAGATATTTGGACAAGATGTGAGACTTTGGAGTTTTCCACATTCCCACCTGCCTTGCTGAGTCCCTTTCATTTCCTAGTTGCTCTGTAAATCAGGAGATCTCTTATCCTATCTGTCCTGGATTAAGTTCACATATTCCTAAGCCTCTACTCTATTGAAATTCCCATATGCATGATTAGATTTCTCCAATCATGCATATGAATCTTGTATTTTTTATTTTATTAGTTTACACTATGGCAATATTAACTTATCCTTTCAGAAATTATCTTTTGAGTGTCTACTGTTTGCCAGGCACTGCTCTAGGCATTTGGAGATATTGTCCAACAAGACAAATTCCTGCCTTGTAGAACATACACACTTGCAGCAGGAAAGAGTTACTAAGTAACAAGGTTGTAAAGTAAGTAAAAGGTTTCATAGGCATACCCAGTGAATTATTTGGTATGTTAGAAGGAGGTAACTATTAGTGGATAAAGAAAAAATAAAGTAGGATTAGGGATTTGAATGCTATGGTGAAGGGGTGTCAGGATGAAAAATTTTCTGAGATGGTCAGGAAGAGACTCCTTATCAGGTGATGTTGAAGAAGGGTTTGAAGTAGTTGAAGGACTTGGGCAAGGGAATATTAAGGAAAGAGTGGTCCAGGTGCAGGTACGGACAGAGCCAATGACCTCAGGCTAAAGCATGCCTGTTGTCTTTGATGAGCAACAGTGATTGAGAATGGCCAGAAAGGTATCAGGGGACAGATGAGGTCGGAGAGATAACAGAGTCTTGCAGGTCATTGTAAAGGTTATGCTTTTATGTTCCAGAATGTGGGGAACCATTGCTATTTTTTGATTAGAGCACATACATGATCTCTCTTGTGTCATGTTGTCTGAGTAGATTGAGCATAGAATGTGAATGATTGGCAACGTAAAAGCTGAGAGACTTGTCAGGAAACTATGGTAGTAATCCAGATAATAAAGAAAGATAGAAAGTGTAGTCTGGAAGCAGTAGAGGTGAGAATTTTGAGTATGTTATGAAGGTTAAGTCAACAAACTTTCTTTGACATTGAGTGTGGGATGTAAGAGAAGGGAAAGAATAAAAAATGCACCAAATGTTTTAGGCCTGAGAACATAGAAAATCAGAATTGCCATTAAGTAGGATTGGGAGTTCCTAGAACACAATCTAACACCTGTTCAGTGTGACTGCCTGTAGGACATGAAAATGAAGATATCAGATCAACAGCTCTGTATATGTTTCTAGAGTTCAGGAGAGAGATCTGGACTGGAGATCAAATCTGGGGAAGTTAGCATATGGATGGCTTTATATCCATGCTTCAAGTAGAAATTAAGAGGGTCATAGACAGATACATGGAGAAATACAACATAGAGCAATTAGGGACAGAAAGATAAACAGGCGAAAGATAGCCTCTATAAGTGACCAATGATGTAGAAAGAAAACCAGAAGGAAGTGTATTTAGGAGAAAGAAATGATCTTCCGGGCCAAAAGTTGCTAACAGTCTAGTAGGTAGGGACCAAGTAAGTAAGGACAAATTGATATTGGATTTAGACAAGGGATGAGGGACCTTGGCAACCTTTATGAGGGCAAATTTCTGGCAGGAAATGGGTGCAAAGTTGTGTCTAGGGTGTAAAGTTGTGTCTAGCCTGGGCTTTGTTATTGCCAAATGAGATATCAAAGTGAGAATGGTAGGGGGCAGGTGTGTGTGTGTGAGCTTGTGTGGGGTTGGGGACGGGGAAGAGGGTAACTACAATGGCATGATTAGAATGATGAGCCATGGACTTGAAGCTGACTTGGGGAGAAATGGGGTATTATGAGCATTAGGAACAGCTGACAAGTGATAGAAGTTCTGCTGGAGCCAAAGGATGGATGGTGGACAAAGGGAATGAAAGACAGCAAACAGTGGTGGTGAGTGAACTGGGGTGCCTCAAATATCTATTATAAAGTAATCGGAGTATTTTGTAGTAATGAAATCTAGACTAAGATCATAAAAGTCAGTTGCTGAGGTAGATTGCTCAATAAAATCACTACATTACTGGAA